TTGGTACAGCAGCCCTAGAACACAGACAATGGAGGATAACTCGAGTAGGACACAGGAGCCCTGGGGGACTAGTCCTGAACCGGTAGCCCTTGCCCTCTCAAAGCCTCTATTCATCTATTTCTCCCTCTGAAAAAACGAGAGCACTGGTGAGGGTGGGGGATGGCTGGCTCAGTCACTACAGCACACAACTCTTGGTCTCAGGGTCATGAGTTCAAGCACCTCATTGGGCGTGGAGCTTACTTAAAAACAACAACAACAACAAACCAAGAGCACTGGGTGTAGACACCCTCTGATGTCCCTTCTGGTTCCGACACTTGGTGGTTTTATGAAGAAGAGGAGCAGCTACCATAATGTAATGACTGGCAACTGGTTGTGAGGGTTGACAGAAAACAGCCTGTCCCAGAGCGTGTTTGGTGGAATTTAAATTCTACGGGCTGCTGATAAGGGTTAGTCAGAAAAGAGGGCTATTCATGCAGCAAATTATTACCCATCACTTACCAGGCACTGTTCTGAACCCTGGGGAGTCGGTGGTGAACAGGACAGATGACCTCCCTGCCCTCACAGAGCTCAGATCAGAGAAGTGAACTAACACACTCTTTGTTAGGAGAGAACTGATGAACAGGCCAATTTCCACTGGTCATTAAACCACGAAGAAAATGAAACCTGGTGATGAGACCGTGTGGGACAAGGAGGCCAGCTTCTCCTGGTAGAATGGTCAGAGCTGGCCTCTCAGGGTCAAATTCAACCTGGGCTTACGTGATGAGATGAGCTGGGCGTTTGAAGAAAAGGGGGAAGAAGTATGAAAAAATATCGAGCTAAATAAAATTAAACAGAATTCTATATGGAAGAGTCCTGCGGGTTTGAACATATCAGTTGGTTCATGTGTTCACTGTCCAATGACACATTATTTTATTGAACCAGGCAGTGTTCTAGACACAAGGGATACAGTACTGAACAAAACAGGCAAGGTCCCTGGCGCGTGGAGCATTGTGAGCGTGGGGGAAACAGACAATACAAAACTCAACAGATAAATATAACATCAGGATATAAAAGGACTCGGAGGGGGCACCTGGGTGGCTCGGTCGGTTGAGCGTCCAACTCTTGGTTTTGGCTCAGGTCAAGATCTCATAGCTTTGTGGGTTTGAGCCCCGCATCGGGCTCTGCTCTGCGCTGCCTGTTTGGGATTCTCTCTCCCCCTCTCTCTGTGCCCCTCTCCTACTGGTGCCGTCTCGGTCTCTCTCAAAATTGAGAAACAAACTTAACAAAAAATAAAAGGACTCTGAGGAACAGAACGGGTATGGGGATAGGTGTTGACAGCGGTGGTAATGGTGGTCTGGGAAGATATCTGGCGTAGACATCTGAACAGAGAATTAACAGGCAAGATGAATCAGTAGGCAGCATTTCCCAAACTAACATGACAACACAACCCCTTTGTCCCAGAGCATCACGCAGGACACAGGCTCCTCAGAACACACTTTGAGAAACCCTGGCCCAGAGACAGCTGAAGCATGAACCACACTCTCGCAGGACCGAGGCTAGCATGTCAGGATGGAGACTATGAATCTCATGAATACAGAGTAAGGCATTTTGTGCAGAAAGTCCCCGCCTCCAAATGGGTATCAGAAAGTAGGAGAGGGGCGCCTGGCTGGCTCAGTTAGTACAGCATGTGACTCTTGATCTTGGGGTTGTGGGGTCGTGAATTCAAGCCCCATGCTGGGTACGGAGCCTACTTTAAAAAAAAAAAAAAAAAGCAAGTGGGAGTGACTGGGAATTCTCTGCTTGACTGCTAGTTAGTAAACCTCTGCATACTCTCCTGAGCCATCCCAGACTCCCCCTCGGTTCTGTGGGATTCATGAAGCTTGAGGATAAGGTAAGCCCACGATTGGATGAGTCGGCACTAGCCCGTGCTGGTTTTCCCCAGAGAGCAGAATATAAAAGAGTAGGAATCCTTTTTCTAGGATGTTATGTTGCAAAGAACATGTATTTGTTTTTTCAAGCGTATCATCTGGGTGACAACGATCAATGTCCACATTTCCGGGGATCTTTACCCAAGTCCCCCTTCAGTTCTGATTAAGGAATAAATGGTGCACCCTGGGACCAGAAACAAGATCTGGGGCCCGAACAGGGCCTACGCTCATGCAAAGTGCACACCCTGAGAAAAAGACCGATATTCTCCCCAGGAAGCCACAGGGAGTTTCACTGCGAGCAAACCCCACCGTCCCTGCGATGTCCTTTCCTGTCTAGAGAAGGCCGTCTGGACTTTCTCACAGCTCAAGTCAGAGGAGGCACATTATGTATTCAAGTCCTGCTGCAGCAAGCCTTCCAGCACGCCATCCTGCCTGGGCTCCAGCAGAAACACCTCTCTGGGGAGCAGGCTCTGTTCGTGGTAAGCTGGGCTCCGGGTCCGCCAGAGGAACCGCTCTGAAAGCCCACAGAACGTGGCCTCGCCTGGCAGGTGGTAACGCCGTTCACCTTCCTCGTTCCCTAGGCGAGATGTGAGCTCAGGCAGAGGGGGGGGGGGGTCTTCCCATGAAAGCCAACGCCTTTCCCAAGCCTCTGCTTCCCTGAACTGCCTGCCCGAGCCCCCATGTGGTTCCTCTGCTTGGATAATCCTCCTGCCCCTCGTCACCTTCTTGTCACCTGCCATCTTTTTCATCTTGGCTCAGTGTCACTTCCTCTGGGAAGCTGTCTGTCTTGATCGGATCAAACACCACCACTGGGGGTGCTTAGGGCACATCGTGCCTCTTTTACGAGCACCTGCAGTGGCTCTGAGTCCCAGGTCCTGCCACTCACATCCCTTCAACAAATCCCATCACCTCCCCGGGCCTCAGTGGCCGAAGGAAGGGAGGTGAAAAGATGCTCACTGTGGTTCCCTCCCTGTCCCAGCGCTCTGAGATTTCCCTTCCTGAGACAAGAGTCACAATCATTTACTTAGCACTGAAATGACAGAGAGAGCCACAGTATTGGTTCCCACACTTTTGAAGACATGACATCCCTTTTCAAATGATGCTGTCTAATCCTAAAGCAGGGAACGGGCGGAGCTACTTTGCTTGAAATGGGCCAAAGTCTGGAAGCCCTTTGTCTCTCAGCCTCTGAGGTACCTCCCCCGCCTAGGGCTCCAGAGGCACGGGTTTCAGGCCACTCCCTGGGACGGGCCTTCCAAATCTAACACTAGGGCAAGTTCCAAAGTCCACCCACTCACACCCCATGCTGACTGGTTGCCTGAATTCTGTGGGGTCCGCAGATCTTCTACTGACAAGTGTCCAAAAGACACAAAGGTTTGTCTGTTCCTCTTTAAGCTTTCTTTCAACATGTCTGACTTCACACGTAGCTCCGGAGCACGCAGGAAAGGGGGATTATAAAAAGGTAGGAGAGGAGAGACCCATCGGTAAGCCCACTTCCAAATCTGTGATATGGACACAAGGGCCACAAAGGGCCACAAGCACTGCAGCAAAGGACACAAGCAACCGCTGTTAGCGCTGCCCGTTCTCTCACCGAGGAGGCACGGACACCCATGTAGGGGTGTGCTGGCCCTCAACACACCTTGGGCGCCTGAGTCCCATCGTCCTCAGTGGAGCCCCCTAGACCCGACTTCGGAGTTCTGACCGTGGAGGGCCGGGCAGCAAATCAGCAGACCTGGCCATCGGTCCCCAGGAGCACCCAGCACGGTCACGGGCACGACCCAGGACTTCGGGTCCTTGCAGTAGTAGCCCACCCCTCCTCCAGAATTCAGAATTTGCTGGAACACCTCCTACCGATCACTATCACCCAGGTGTGAATCGCTGGGGGGAGGGCCTTCTACAGCCAGAGCTGCACACTCCTTTCTTTATTTTCTAACACCTTCCAAATTCATCACCCTCGACGTGGTGAGCAAAAGAACGTGCAGACATTTGTGGGGAAGGGGTGAGTGCCCCTGCCTCCCCTAGGTCAGGGAGATACCAAAACCCACTGAGAAATCATCTGGGAGAAGACTCCCAGGATGGGCCTTTGTGGGCACCTGTCCAAAGGTTCCGATTTGGAAGCCACAACAGCTGGCCTTTTGGAGCCAGAGAGAAAGCTTTCATATATTGAGGCAATTGATTATTATTATTTTTTTAAAGGCTCCAAAACCTCCTCTAAAGCCATCTCCTGTACTTAAACATTCCCTTAGTTCTCCCCCGCCCCCCCCCCATATTTATTTGGCTTATAAAAACGTATTAAACCAGTAGTCACTCTGCTGCCTCAAATGTGTCTACTCTCAGCCCCACGGTCTGGTGACAGTTCTCTTTATCGATCTCAAGACAGCTGCCGAAAGTCCTGTAGTCCTGTAGGTCTCCCCCTCCTCCCCACCGCCTGCCCCTTTGTCCTGTCCGGTCCTCTCCAACTTACTCTATGAAGGCTCGGTGACAGACACAGCAGGCTGAAAGGGGAGGGAGGCAGTGCTATTTATAATTCGGCAGAGTTGGCCCTCAGAACACGGCCATTTTTTCCAGGCCGACTGCCAGAGCCCACATTCCCCAGGCTCCATATATGGGCCTCTCACAGGCCCCTGAGCCCATAGCCTTGCCTCTGAGGGGACCCAGGCCGCCTGGCAAGTCAGGAAGGTAAGGCCCGATCCGCTCCTCCATGGCCGTGGGGGCCACAGCCAGCCCGGGAACCTGGCCTCCCCGTGCTTCCCCTGGGGGGTGGTCAGAAAGCGGGGAGAAAGGAATAAGAAACCCTGAGGTCCCAGCCCGAAGGAGTTGGAGAGCAGCCGGCTTTCTCTCCAGGGCTTGAATAAGAATGGCGAGGAAAAAATGTATTCTTGCTACGAAACATTAGGTCACCCCTTGTTTTTTGCCAAGTGGTTTTCAATTGTTTCCACCGAGATGTGACTGAGGTCCACGGCAGCCCTGCCAGCCCCCGAGGGCTCCGAAAGCCGGATTTATGGACGCCCTTGGATAGGCAGATGGGAGGGGAAGCCCAGGGAGGGTGGGCAAGCCAAGGCGAGGGAGCAGGGCTTTGCCAAGCAGATATTTTCTGCAGGCTCTCAGCTTTGATTAGCATATATTAAGGGCGCAGAATGAGAAAGGTGTCCGGCCTCCTGTGGGCATGTGGACATAAACGCCCTCCTGCCCTCCAGAAACCAAGCACTGAGGCAAGAGGAAGGGCCTGACGGGTTGACTTGTCACTCCAGGCTTTTCTCATCTCTGTCCCTTCTAGGCCGACGCCTGTCAGGCCAGGCCGGGGCCACAAATGGACCGGGGGGGGGGGGGCTGGAAAACCCCCCTCCATGGGTATGTGGGCGATTTTACTTCGATTTCGCGGACTGTTTCTCCAACCTCCTCAAGAATGGTCTGCAGTGGACACAGCTGTGTCAAATCAAGTTCAAGTCCTTTCTCTAAATAGCCTTTTGTGGCCATCTGGATATCTCTTCCTTAGGATGGAGAGCATCTGGTATTATTATGAATTGTTATTATTAATATCAATAATAAGAGTCTGCCTTTATTGAGTGTTCACCATGCCACCCACTTAACATATAGCATCTCATTTAATCTTCATAACACCCCCAAGAGATGGATGTTCTTCTGTAGGTGAGGAAACTGGGGTGCAGAGAGGTGAAGCAGCACGTCCATGCTGACCCTACGGGTAAGTAGCAGACCCCCACGTCTGTCCAGCTCCTCACTTCCCACCTCTCTGCTCTACGTACCAGTTCCTGTCACTTGCGTCTGCGCTGTCTTTGTTCCTTTTTTCTCCTTGCAGGTGGAGGCCCCTTCTTAAATGTGTTGCCCCTTCTCTTCTCTCCTGAGCATCTAGGACAAACTAGACCCACAAAGAATCTTCACTCAGGAGGCACTTCTTCGGCCAAGGGCACCTCTCACCTGTGAGCTCTTTTCAGCGTAGGAAGGATTCCGGATTCTCTGTGGACCCCATGGCCTCTGTAGCCCTCCCTGAACAGCCAGGACCCTCTATCTGTGGAGGTCCCGGCCATCCCGTTACTTGCTTGCCTGTGACAAATATGGGGCTGGCACTTCAGCAGGGAGAAGGAGCAGCAGGAGTTGATCAATTCCTAAGCAACAAAGATCCTGTTTTCATGCAAACGTCCTCGGCATTAAAACAAAAACAAATTCTTCCCGGGGCGCGTCCTGGATGCCAAGTCTCCTTGCAAGACACATTTTTAAGCGGGGTTCTGCGCCTGCGTGAGAGACTAACGGGGAATGGGAGGAGAGCTGTGTGCCAGGTGTCAGGAGGCAATGCAGGACCTTAAGGTGGCATGGCAACAAGTGCCTTGAGTTCCGAGCAGGTAGGGACCACCGAGGGCTTCCTGGAGGAGGGAGTTATTCCGATTCAACTCAGGGGTCTCCTGACTGATGGTGTTGGCCTGATCTTGCAGGACCTGGGTGCCCACCAACACCAGCACTACTGGAACATCGCCAGGGTCACTGGGCTAGCCCAACAGTTACAGAAACATCCACAGGGCATCTGGCCTCCAGCTGGCTCCAGCCGTTTTGTCCTTTATGAACACGGGGGTTCAAAGGCAACAAACACTGTTAACGGCTCAAGGGCAGGGCCACACAATTTGTTTTTGGCAAATAACTAGCAATACCAGGACTGCAGCATTTTAGTGCTGCAAGATCACCTGCTACCACCCCCTTACCGCTGATGCCTTGCCCAAGGCTCCCGGTCCAGCCAAGACTCCAGCTCAAACCTCTTTTCTCCTGCTCTCTGAGACCTTCTGTGCAGCCTCCTTTTCTCACACTGTGGAGGTATTCTCTGGCTTCAGCACATGCCCAGAAGCACTACTGGGCTGGATACTGGGAGACACGGAGCACACAGCACCAGGCTGCGGTCTTCTCAAGCTAGCCTGCGAGCAATTCCAGGGCAGGAGGAGCGCCTTCCCAGTGCATCTCTCTTCCCAGCGCCTACCACAGCAAGGGGGACGGGGCAGGCAAAGGTCTGGTGCTGGGCACAGTAAACGGGCAAGTCTGGCAGGATTAAAGGGCCCATAAAGGGGCTTTGTGGCAAGAATCAGCTAATTAGAGTGGAAAGAGCATGGACTTGGGGTAGAAAAGATGTGGGCTGGCATCCAACACTGTCACCATGTCCGGGGATTGAGAGGGTTCCCCATTATCCATGTTCTCTTCCTGCCAAGCATGCAGCGGGACTCCACTTCCCAGTCTTCCTTGCAGTTAGGATGGTCATGTGGCTACACTCTGGCCAGTGGACTGAAAGCGGAAGTAATGTGGGGCAATTTCAGGCCCAGCCCCTGAAAACCTCCCACATGTGGGTCTTCCATCTACCAATTGACCCAGAGTGCTCCCAGGACCGGGTTCCCGAATCCCTGTGTGGAAGACCACCTGCCAAACATCTGCACTGAATCGTGTTCGCAGGAAATAAACTCCTAAAGCGTTACGCTATTAAAATTTGGGGGTTACTGCTGTTAGCCGAACCTAATACAGTCTCTTACTAGCCATGTGGCTTTGGATAAGTTTCTTAACCTCCTGAAGCTCCAATTTCCTCATCTGTAAAATGAGAATTTAAAAAACCTTCCTGAGAATGACTGGGCTAACATTTGTGAAGATCTCACAATCAAGGCTGCATTATGACTTTTGTGAGCCCTATACATTTTTGCCTTTATGGGTCCCTTCCTGCATTAAATTAAAAAAAAAAAATAATAGAAATAAAAAAACAGAAAAAATTGGGTTTTTAATATTACATCGGTATAAAGAGGAGTACAATCCAGGCCAGATAAATCATGATGCTTATTATTGTTTCTTATTTCTATATTTGATTTTATATTCATTATTATTATGTTCATTTTTTTCCTTCTGATTTTAAGGGAAATTAAAATCAAACATTTTGTGGGGCTCTGAAAATATTGTGGCACTAGGCGCTATGCCTACGTACCTAACGGAGAAGATGACCCAGCTTACTACAGTGCCTGGCCCATGATGCATGCAATGAATCAAAACTATTATGGATTTTTTTTTTGAAGTTTGTTATTTTGAGAGACAGAGAGGGGAAGTAGGGCAGAGAAAGAGAGAGAGAGAGAATCCCAAGAAGGCTCTGCACTGTCAGCACAGAGCCCAACGTGGGGCTCAAACTTACAAATGGTGAGATCCTGACCTGAGCTGAAATCAAGAGATGGTCAGTTAACTAACTTAGCCACCCAGGTCCCCCAAAACTACTATGGTTTAAAAAAAATAGGAAGATGGAAGCATGAAATAGCAACAAATGGTCACGAAGCCCCTTTCACATACTTCATTTCCTCCAACTCTCACATCCACTGTATGAAACGGTTTTCACTTCTATTTTCCAATGAGAAAGGTGAGGCTCGGAGAGGTCAAGGGTCATGCTCAAGACGGGTAGGAGCCCCGTGCATGGTGCCTCATATCAGGCACAGTCCTAGACACCTGTCTTTGTCACTTTTCATTTTCTCAACGCGGTACGATAGGGATTCTTTTTTTTTAACCCCCATTGTATGACTGAAAAAAAAAAAAAAAAGATACTGATGTAAGGACAAGCGGCTGAGCTGAGAACTGAAACCACTTCTGGGGCCAAATCTAATGCTCCCTCTACCACCTCGCCTTTCCATCTATCAATAGCTCTGTCACGAGAATTGATACGTGGCAGTGTCTATGGAGGGTGTCAGACGCCCCAACACCTTCTTTCATAGAGCAGAGAAGAACCTGCGCAGGGCTGAAATCCAAACACATCATGCCAGATCAGACTTGTGCTTTCTCATTCTCCACCCAAATGTACTCCTTAGAAGGTCTAATTATAGTGACTTCTATTTTCTTGTAAATAATCACATCTGTCATAACTGATTTAACTGATTCAAGGCTCCAAGTTGGCAGTCTTGGAGGCCCGAGCCAATGTGTCAATTACGCCAAGAAGGCTGTAAGCAAAAGTTGCACGAAATGGAAGAGAGAAAAAAAAATTAGTCACAGGCATATAGATGGTGGGGACCAATATGTGCTTTTTCACAACAGTAATATCAACACAAACTCCTAAACGTGGCCAATGGGTGTCAATCCGTCGGCAACCTAATTTAGTAAAACAGACACAGCCAGCCAGATCCTGGGGAATAAAAACAATCTTTTTTAGTGGCGACTCAATCCTAGAAACTGGTTTCTCCAATATCTTTCAAGTCTAAGTAAATACCCCCAGGAATTTGCCATGGCTCTTTATGCTTGTCTTCAGGAGAAAAGATGGGTTGAAGGGCTCACGTGATTCAGGAATATACAGCTTTCCCCCTTTTGAAAGTTTGTGTTATGCCACCTCACCTTTATGAGAGATCTCCATTAGTACCTGGCTTTGTTGCTAATGCAAAAAAGGACTTTCTACGGAAAAAAGGGCAAAAAATGAAAATAGCATTATTAGTTTAGCAGCAGCCATTAAAGAGATAGCTGCACCCCAAGCAGGGAGAGTGGCCCCACCAAGATCCTTCCCTGGGACCTACACTTAGAATCTCGGCATCAACTGCCTGTGCTTTGACTTATTTTGTGCATCCTTTAGCAAGATGTGTCCTAAGGTATCAGAAAAGCCTGAGAGGTTTTTTGGGGGCTTGGGGAGCTGAAAAATTTCCTATACAAATGAATGGTAATTGCTTCTTTGCTTTATGCCGCTTCAGCTTGCTCACGACAGGTTTCATAGGGACACTCGACTCTAGGACAGTGGGGGAAACTTGAAGTCTTAGTGGCTATATTTGAGCGTGGCTGTTCAGCCAGCACAGAGTGGTAGCTAGAACTTTCGATACGGACTTGGGTCCAAGTCTCTCTCCACTTCTCACTAGTGTGACTAAGCAAACCATTTAACCTCCCCCAGTGCATCTCAGCTTCCTCATCTATAAAATGGTGACAACCTAGAACCCTCGTGGGACTGAGTGATCTAATGACTCAGTATGACAGCCTGTTGGAAAGTGTAAGCACCACATAAATGCTCATTATCATTATTAACAGATCAGCATATACTGAGTGCTGTTTTCAGTCCATGGGAATGGCTTCTCTCTCTCCTAAAATAACTCCAAGCAGAAACAGTCATGCTTTCAGTCACAGAGGGGAGGTGAGACTTCTTTCCTAGGGAGGTGTTTGAAAGTCGTCTTGCCAGTTAAGCTCTGAAAGTGTCTGTGTCTGAAGGGAAGCTTCGAGAAAGGAGTATCTTCCAGGTAAGAATGTGGGAAAGTAAAAGATGGCTCTCATCCACTCCCCAGTTGCCCACAGGAAATGCTTTTGGTGACCCCAATCCTGCAGCTGGCGTAACTTCCTTTGGTCCTGGTCCGTCAGTGTGAGCAGAGGGGTTAAGAGCAGACTCTGAAGCCAGACTTCCTGAACTTTGAGTACTGCTCCGTTCTTTACTTATGGTGTGATCTTGGACAAGTTATCTGTGTTTCAGTTCCTCATCTATAACATGAGAATAATAACAATACCTACCCCTTAGGGTGCTAGTGAGGAATGAATGAATGAATACACGTCCAAAGCTCACAATAGGACCAGGTACATAGGAAGCAATTAGCATCCAGCTTGCATTGGCCATATTACAGTCATTGGCCTTCCCCTCATCCCGTGTTCATTAACATGCATGTTTAACAGCTTTTCCACACCAACCCCCTTACTAGGAAGGAGATTCTTTAGTCCACATAGAAGATCTGAAAAGAAAACACAGTATTAAGAACTCCATGATCTATACCTGAATCTGCAAGAGAGGCCCAGGGTCACCTCCTTCAAGGGCAGTTCATTTCCAGGGTAGAAGTGTGGGGGAAAAGGCTCTGGACTGAGAATCGAGAGGCCCAAGTCCTAGGCCAGTGCCATTTTGCCCACTCTGTGGCCTTGAGCAAATCACTTCATCTCTCTGGGTATTAATTTTCTCAGCTGTAAAAATAGGGGACTTTAGGGGCGCCTGGGTGGCACAGTCGGTTAAGTGTCCGACTTCAGCCAGGTCATGATCTCGCGGTCCGTGAGTCTGAGCCCCGCGTCAGGCTCTGGGCTGATGGCTCGGAGCCTGGAGCCTGTTTCCGATTCTGTGTCTCCCTCTCTCTCTGCCCCTCCCCCGTTCATGCTCTGTCTCTCTCTGTCCCAAAAATAAAAAAAACAAAAACAAAAAAAAAACAAAAAACAAAAACAAAAACAAAAAAAAAAAAACGTTGAGAAAAAAATAGGGGACTTTGGTTGTGAATCGCAGTTTATTCATCTGTAAACAACGATAATAGGAATAACTATCCTATAACACCACATCATGTAGTGCGAACCAAATCACGCATCCCATGTAAAGGTGGACAAAGGTCCTGAGCATGGCCCATAAGGCTCTGGACCATCCAGTTCCTGTGTCTCCTGGCCCATGGCTCTCCCTTCACTTGTTCTGTTCCACACACTGGCCTCCTGGCTTTTCTCCCACTCCCCAGGCACACTGCTACCACAGGGCCTTTGCCCCAGCTTTGTTCCTCTGCCTGGAATGCTTTTTCCATAAATAATCCCATGGCTCACTCCCACACCATTTTCAAATACTGGATTATTATTTTTTCCACAGCTACTATCACTTTCTTGCATAGTGCACGATTTCCTTGCTTATGATGACTACTACCCTTTATTGTCTGTCTCCTCCCAGGCCAAGGATGTGTGTTCCAAGAGGGCAGGAATTCTATTTTGTTTCTGTCCCCCAAAAGCCTAGAAGACTACCTGGCACATAACAGGTGGTCAGTAACTATTTGATATTGAATGAATGAATGAATGAATGAATGAATGAAGAGCACTTTGTACAGCAAGAAGGTGCTTACTGAATTTGGGGCAGCCTTCCTAAATGTTAAGGGGAGATTCTTACTCCTCCCCTGCCTTCTTTCCATGAGGAAGGATCCTTACTTAGTCACCCTGGACCTGTTTCCATCCCTGTCACCCACGTTCGCCTAGAAGTGGAGTAAAGCATCTCGCTGGCGGATGAGTCACTGGTCCATTTCTTGACTCAATGAAGTTAAGCTGCAAACTTCACAGATGCAATTTCTTTGCCTGTTCTGGCTCTGCCATCAGACAGAGCAATGGCTCTAAGTGAGTGAGTCTGCTTTGCAGGCTCACAGTTCCCTCCTTGGGTTCTGTGTGGTGTGGGGTGCAGGACAGGGGGCGTTAGAAAGACCTTCTAGCCAGCAGATGTACGTAAGTCATGCTCACTAGCCTGGCTCTGTCAGGAACAAAGTGGACATTAAAAACAATTTCTTTTTTAATGTTTACTTGTTTTTGAGAGAGAGACAGAGAACTAGCTGGGGAGGGGGAGAGAGAGAGGGAGACACAGAATCTGAAGCAGGCTCCAGGCCCTGGGCTGTCAGCACAGAGCCTGAAACGGGGCTTGAACCCACAAACCATGAGATCATGACCTGAGCTGAAGTCGGACACTCAACCGACTGAGCCACCCAGGTGCCCCACTTGTATCTCTCTTGATTGGTCTCGAACCTGGTCAAGCAACAGCGCTGTGCCATTTACTGACCCCTAAAACTTCAACTAAATATTCCAAATTTTAACAAGTGAAGCCTTATGTTCTTTGTTTCCAGACTGTTTTCGATCCTAGTCGCTCTCCTTCCACGTATTAGTTTGAGAATGTCCCACTTTGCACACAATACTGCAAACTGCTGAGCACAATTCTGTGAGGAGGCTTGTGACTGGCTCGCTCTGGACA